TTTTAATTACCTCAATTGAAATAACAATCTGATAACAGTCTGCTTTTACCGGTTCTCACAGTCTCTTTGCTTGCAGATTTCTTATATATTTTTTCTTCTACCCTGAAGATGCAGGCGATACGTTCCTCCGAAACGTCGGTTAACACCACATATACATGGTGCCAAATCCCAGAAGACTGCTTTCTTCATAGTCACTGCCATGAAAGCCTCAAATCCTACAATCTGATACTTAATTTGAGTAAAACTCACATGATTAAATTTGTGACTCCTAAGTCTCCAGAGTATACATTATCGGTAACATATAATAATTTTAGACTTAAAGATGTTAATAATGTTAATTTTTTAGGTATATATTTAGATTGTCAACTTAATTGGAAAAAACAATCTGAAAAATTATTACAGAAACAGAATACAGCGTGTTTATGCTCAGGAAGTTACAATCCCTTGTCAGTGAACAAGCTCTTCAAATGGCCTATTTTTCTTATTATCAGTCTCAGCTTGAATATAGTATTATACTCTGGGGTTCTTCTCCAGTTATAAAACGTTTATTTGTTGCCCAAAAAATAGTGATTAGGGTTATACTGAGTTTCAGTCCTGGAAACTCGTGTAGAGAAGGTTTTAAGTGGTTGGTTATTTTGATGGTTCCTAGCCTATATATCTATTCTATATTGATGTTTGTTGTTAGAAATCACAATTTTTTTCAAACCAACAATAATATTCATCATATAAACACTAGACAGTTTGGAAAGCTACATGTGTCGTCAGTAGGGACCGGATTTTTATGCCCTAATAATCCCTTAAATATTTATGCATTTATGCATGAAAAACTTCTGAAATATGCACATAAAAATTGATACCAAATATTAAAATTGATTTAACATTATTTTAAGACCAACAAATCAATATTTAAGTTCATTTTATGTAATCACTGAATGATTCACTTGCAATAAAAAGCTATACTTAAATACAAATCATGCAACAAAGCCAACATATTTCATTACAAATTTAAAAAACCAATGGTACTCACATTAGCTCTCTGAACTTTCAACTTCTGTTCTGTTGCAGTTCACAGTTACTAAATGTTTTAAGTTTTCCATAGTAAGTCGCCTCCTATCGTCTCGTAAGATGTCCTTATAGTGGGAAAAACTTCTTTCAGTCTCTCAGTAACTTAGGGGCGCATGTACAAAAGCCGCTATTTGCTCCACTGTTAGTGATTTTTTACTTGGCAGTTCAGTATGTTTACTGGCTAAAATTTCTTCAATTTCACAAATTTGTTCATAACCTGGATTTTTAAAAGAATGCAGTGTACTTTCTCCTTTACTACTTCACGAACTCTTCCAGGAACTGAATTCAATTTGGAAACAGTGGTTTTGAACATGCTTAACGACTGATACAGAGTAGTATTGCTATTGCTTGCCTCCAGTGAGGAAATGGTGGATGGAAGATGAGAGAAGTGAGCAGATATATAGGAAAGACTAGTTTATAGTTCTGTGTTTTTAGTACATCTTGGGCAATTTGAATTGATGCTGCACTTTTGGGATAAAATGTATTCACGACATTGCTAACTGTTTCTAACTGTTCAGTATAATAACTCACTGCACACAGCCACGTGCCCCAGCACATTAAAATTGGTTCTGGCGGAAGTGGAACGCTCGGTGCTACAGCATTAAAGGCTTCTTTTCTGTATGGCGCTTTAAGAAATACCTCCTTCACAGAAGACACCAACTTGTCAGCAAGTGGAAAATTTGCATGAAATGTTTCTGCATCTCGGTGCAACCCATGGGCAAGGCAAGTCAAATGTGTCATATTTGGAAATATAACTTTAAAAGCAGTACCGGCTTTCATCATGTAACTTGCGGCATCAGTCACGAAGAGTAATACACGCTCATACTGAATGCTATTCGGCCATAGTAAATTCATGGAATTGATAAAATATTTAGAAACTGTGGAGCTATTTGTGGTTTCAAATTGCTCTACCGCAAGAAGATATAGGGTAGATTGTTCATTCTTATTAAGGGATCCAACTATACAATTTGCAGTAAACCATCCCTCACAATATTGTGTTTTGTCGATTGATACCCACACAAAATTATCTTGAATCTTATCTCTAATGCTTTCAATTGTAAGATCATAACACTGCTTCACGTAATTTTTGCGCACAGTAGATTCATCTGGCACTTTGCACTGTGTATACTTCTCTATGAAGTTTCTCAGAGTAGGATTGGTTAGTTTCCACAGCGGAATATCTGCCACTAAAAAGGCTTTGCATAAATCAAAGGAAAACTGTGAGAAACTATTATTAGAAAATTCACTAAGCAATTTTTGAACAGGAGCACTTTTCATGGATTTAATTTTAATATTCTCTTTGTGTATATTAGTGTTCAAATGCTGAAGCAATTGAAAGCGTCTTTCTCAACCGTTTTCTCACACGCTCGGCAATAAAGATTTTCGTTATTTGTACTTATCATCTCTCCTTCGAACTCCCGCTGATACAGCTGTAATTTAGTTTTCTGACTTGCTTTCACTTTCGGCATGACTACAGAAAGCTAAACAAACTTAACTACAGCCTAATCACCAGTAATGTGAATGGCCCCCCAGCTTCAAATGAAGACGTGTAACGAACCTCATGGGGACTTCGGAAATAAATATGTGAAGTCCCTTATCAGTTGAATAGTATTACGTTGATAGCGGCTACATGTGAACGCTTCCGACTAATCTCTTCGCGGTCACTTTGATGGTACGCGGATGAGGGGATCAGGGAGGTCCCATCCTGGGTATTGCCTCAGAAACATGAATCATGACGAAATGTTGAGTCAAATATGCAACATATTCTAATACAGAAAACAAAAATTGTGTACACATGACCATGATTGAAAATTTGAACATAAAATTAAAAAATACATATGATAACTATTTTAAAAAGGAAATATGCAGTATGAATAGAGATCTTCGAAAATATGATGCTTATTCATAAAACAGGCAAAATACTCGTATGCATTTACGAGGGGGTACCCAAAAGAAACCGAACTTATTTTTTTTTTAAACTTATTTATTCAGATTTTAAGTACAAACCTTCAATCCCCTTCAAAGTACTCTCCACTTACACTAATACACTTGTCTAGTCTTTTATTCCATTTTTCAAAACATTGTCTTAAATTCATCTTTTGAGATGCTTGACAGCACCTCCGTCGTTTTTTCCTTCACCTCAGCAACATCAGCAAAATGCTGATGCACGGGGCAAGGTCAAAGCACAGCATGCTTCCACACGACCTTGTTTTTGTTCAGCAGTCAGCAGTCGTGGCACAAATTTCGAAGCCACCCTTTTCATTCCCAAATCTTCTGTCAAAATTCACTGAACTGAGCTCCAAGTCACTCCCAACAGCTCCACAATTTCTTCAATGGTCCGTTGTCGATCTTCCTTGATGATTTCACGAATTCTTTCAACATTTTCATGTGTTCGGGCCGTGGCAGGACTACCAGAACGAGGTTTGTCATCAATTGACATTTCACCATTTTTGAAACGGGAAAACCACTCAAACACTTGAGTTTTCCCCATAGCATCGTCCTTGTGTGCCGTTTTTAACATTTCAAGAATTTCTGTTCCACTTTTCCCGAGCAAAAAGCAGAATGTCACCGCCACACGCTGTTCACGAAAATCAGCCATTGCAAAAACGACGATCACACAAAACAGTTGTCACTATAAACTCTGCCGAAACTAGTCCTTACCTTATGAAGCAATGGTAGTCGGCTTATCAACTCAGGAATGTTAGCTCTATGCGCTCATAGCAGCAAAACGCGGTACTACAAAAGCTCTGCCCACAAAAAAATTAGTTCGGTTTCTTTTGGGTACCCCATCGTATATGCACCATCAAACCATGTTCAAAATTTAAGAAATGAAGTAATTCATACATATATCCAAATGAGCATACTTTCTGGTTGCATATTTCTTTCATTAGTCGATTATCTTCGATCCAGAGAGGCATGTTATATTCATCCATTATGGTTTATAATAATCTTCCTCAAAGTATACAAAGGATGAGTGATAATGTGAAGATTTTTAAATGCACGCTGAAAAGTTTCCTCACAACAAATGGCTTTTTATTCAATAGATGAATATAGTTATGCTAAACATGTATAACATTTAGTAACTATATTCATTGCAATTTTGTTTATGAATGACAATGTAAATTATGGATATTTGGTGCTTTTGGTTGTGTGTGGTTGTTTGCTGTTGACACGATTGTACTTCTGCAATCAAGTCTTATTTTGACGAGTTCAATATCCAGTCCAATTCGGACAACAGATCAGTGAATTTATGAATTATGTATATATGTATCCTGATGTTATTCTTGAACCTTCCTCTCATCTTTTAAGTGGTTACTTTCCAGGATGTCAACTGTAATTACCACAGTTCGAGGTACACATTGTTAGTCATATCCTTTGACTCCTACTTATGTGGTTCCATCAGGTCTAAATGTTTTTCCTCTGTGCTAGAGCTCCCATTTTAAATCATTCATGATTTCCTCAAGTTTTACTCCAGGTTTTAAATTTGGCAGAAGACACTAATAGTTGTTTCATGTGTGTTCAAATAAAAAATTATTTGTTATTTTATTTGTTGACTGCTAATGTTTCCAAGATGTGATTACCTGCTCTGACCAAATGGTTGTGCCTAGTCTCTGAGATGTTTTTAAGTGTCTGCTGATGTACCGGTATATTTCTTGTCATGAGCAGATGGTGCATATTGATAGATAAACTGCATCAAAGAAGATCTGAAAATAAAACAGTAATACGGTATAGCATGGACGTGATGCAGTTTAAATGCAGCTGCAAAAGCAGGCAAGGTGCCATTTAAAGAAGTCCTCCAGCAGTTAATGCTGGTGACCAGGAAGTAATATGTTTATTCTGTGTTAATTATGGGAGACCATGTAACACTAATTGAAATTTTTTATGCTCTAAAGTCTTGCAAACTGCATATTAATTGTTATTTTCCATGTTTATAGCTCGACATGGCTAGTTTAGTAGATGAAGTAAATGACAAACACCTTGGGCCATGGGCAGAGGCATGCACTCAAAGTGGAGTGGAGAATACACCATTAACTCCATACATTGACCAAGAGCTACTGTATAATAAACATCTGTACATGGATCCTAGTAAACTTGAGAGCACAGGGTTTTCATGGCTGGTGCTGCAAATCAGCCGAGATAAACTGCAGGAGGTGAGTTTTGGAAGGATACTGAAGTTTGACTTTATATCTTTGTTTTTACTATTGTGTCAAGCTTGGAATCTTAAGTAGGCTGAGATTAGTGTTGTATTGCAGCCAAGTTCCTTCCCAAGGAAGGTACAGTGGGCTTGTAAAATCAGCCCATATATACAGGGTGTACACAAAAGAATGGTGCGGTTTCAAAAGTTAATAGAAATTTTATTTCTCAAATTACACGGTCACAGTGCACACTGTCAGAAGCAGCAGCTCTCCAGGTTTCTCATGCGTTAATCGCAAACCTTCAATATATGCACCCTGGGTCACACGACACACATCCACACGGTAATCAAACTCATCCCAGACCCATTGTAGCATGTCTGCTGTAATGGCCTGCAATGCATGCGTTATCCGATCATGAAGTTCATGGATGGATGTGGACAATGGTGGTACATAAACGCTGTCTTTAACGAACCCCCAAAGAAAGAAATCGCACGGTGTAAGATCTGGCGAACAGGGTGGCCAAGGGAGAAGGTTGTTTTCTCCATTTGTAGCAGAATTTGATTAACGCGTGGATGTGTGTCGTGTGACCCAGGATACACACATGAAGGTCTGTAATTAACGCATGAGAAACTTGGAGAGTTGTCGCTTCTGACGGTGTGCATTGTGACCGTGTAAGTTGAGAAATAAAATTTTTATTAACTTTTGAAACCGCACAATTCTTTTGTGTATACCTTGTATACTGTAACGTGCATATCCAAACCGTCAATTCCTAGGGTGACATCCACTTTCCCGCTACAATGCTACAATTGGAATGCACTATATACATCATATCCTTTAATAAATGAATGTCTATGTAAATAGTAATACTGATGTGAACAGATATGACTGAACAAATTAGAATTTGAGCATACTGTTCACAAAGTAGAAAGATCTGTTTGAGAACTGTAACACATAAGTTACAGCATTAAACATACATTGTACCAAATTTCAAAATGCATATCTACTGCAGATCATTGATCATGCATCCTCATATAATTTTAGTACTGACTTGTGTCTCGTGTGTAGAAATGTATGTGTGCTTGGGGATATCTTTTTCTTATTATCTCCCCAAGACTGGTAACAAAAATAATTAAAAAGTGTCATATGCATTGTCATTCACATTTTCAAAGGTATTAGCAGTTTGATGCAGGAATATCCAAAGCTGGATATTATTTTATCCCAGCTCTACTTCATGCACCTTGAATTATTCGAAGTTATGACAAGTCACAAAAAAAAAACACTCCTTGGCCTGTAGTCCGCAAGCGAACTATACCGACTGAGCGACTGTCTCTTGTCAACGAAGTTAGTGCCAACTTTAGCGGATAGAGGGTGTCGCATGATCAGCGCAATGGATCCCCATGGCTCTTAACCCTTTGACGTGGTCATTTAAATTCCGCGGCCGCGGCTCCTGCGGTAATATATTCAGCCGGCCATTTAAATTTTGCTCGAAAATTATTTATTCATCATTGTTCTTAAATTCTATGAGATAGGAACATGAAACTTTCACTAAAATGATCTTAAATGGTGGTTTTATAACCTTACCTTATAATATGGGCGCCCTGTATCTCGGCCATGGAAGCAGGTTGTTTAGTATTTCAGCAGTGAATGGTACGCCTTGAAGGATGAAACTTTCACTAAAATGATCTTAAATGGTGGTTTTATAACCTTACCTTATAATATG